AGGAAAATAGAGAGGGTTGTGTTTTCTGACACTTTGTGAGTTCCCTGGAACACCGGGGACACATATTCATGTATAAAAGACGTACAAAAGTGCATTTATAGGTCCCCTTTAAAGGGAATGAGTATGTGTACAGACTGCCCGCCCATTTTTTGCCTAAATGGTCCAGCAATTTCTGATTTTCTCATTGATCTTAGTTTTAACTTAACACTTAAAAAACTTAAGTCATGTGATAATATTTTGGTAAAGGTTAGGTTGTTAGTCGGATTATCAGCACAATCAATAGTATACTTTTTCTCAAATAAAAAAAAATGTACTCTTACATTTTATCATTTATAAATAGTGACAGTTGTTTGTATACAGGGAAGACCCAAAAAATGCAGCACTAACTATTTGCATTTCACACAAAAAAGTTCCATTCAACTTTTGTCAGCTTTGTGAGTTAACCCTCTTCCTGTGTGATGTGTAGGTACCAGCATGCTGTGGCTAACCCTGGCCTCGTCACCTTCACGGGACCCTACCTGGATGTGGGGGGGGCGGGCTACGTTGTCACTATCAGTCACACCATCCATGCCTCCAGGTAAGAAGATTGAGATAGTGTATTTTTAACCATCTCAAAAAAGTACATATGCTTTCTTAGTTACTGCACTAGAATATTCAAGTCCTACAGGACAGGTACCAAGTATCTGGTTAAAAAAGTACTCATTCGAAGTGAGTTGAAAGTGTTTTGCTGCTGCAGGCTAACTTGACTCATGTGAGGTAATGCTGGCAAACTTTAGATAGAAGTTTCTGTGTTACATTTCAATGCTGAGTCAGTTCACCGACTTTACAACTCTTCTCTATTTATCCAACTGTTATGTACACTATTTTAGCAAGTCAGTTGTTTACATTTCAGCGACCTTGTATCATAAAAGGAAACAAAAAGGAAGTAAACACACCATCCTCTCCAGGAAAAAATAACATTGTGGGAATTGAAGGAACACTGTATCTGCCATTATCCTGTATTTGAGTCTCAGCTCATTGTTTAGCTGTTCAACCAGAAATTGTACAGTTTTGTTTCACTCTCACAGCTCCTATAGTGTCATTTTTGGCCACAGCAGGCAGCTGATTTCAGCGAAAAAGCTCTGAAAACCCACTGTGCATAGCAGCAGACAGTTAGAGACTAGTTTTGAAAAGAAAAAACAGAGCTATAAGGCCAAGTTGTCTTGGTCTTAAACAACTTTAGAAAGGTAGAAATATGTCACTGTCCCTAAAGCAAATGCTCTGTTTCCATCACAGTTGTCTTTAAGTATATGCTCTACCAAAGTGCCCACAAGTAAAGAGTCTCTGTGCTTCAGCTACTTCTTTTTATAGTAGAAGGTTTTAAACACAGCCTCTTTGAGTTGGAGGCTTTAAAAAGCCTTTAACTGCAGCTGAGATTTAAGTATTTATGTTTCTAGTTCTGTGAGTTTAAGATAAAGCTTAGCACGGGAACACCGCTAACAGCAGCGCAATAGGAACTGTTTACCACGGCCACTGCAATAAACACACAAACATTCAGTATCAGTGTGTGTGATAAGTCAGGTTTAGTGTGTGGATGGCCGGCTCACTGAGCATAACACTACGCAGTCTGTAGTCTGCATAAACACAGATTGAAAGAGAGAGTTTGAGGTGAGTGGGATGTATTTTGTGTGTGTTTTAGATTTGTTTTTGGCTGGTGTGTACAAAATGTGTAAATATTTGTGTTGTAATAAAGGTATTTTGAGTAAAAACACAAACTCAAGGCAAAGTTAAACTGTTTTCCCACATCTTTAAAACAAATCTGGTGTGCTTCATTTCTCTGTCTCCTCTCTCTCCAGCTCTCAGATGGCTCCTGGGTATGCAGTTGCAGTGATGGGCATAGACTTCACTCTCCGCTACTTCTATAAGGTCTTACTGGACCTGCTGCCAGTCTGCAACCAGGACAAGGGCAACAAGATCAGGTAGGAAGGGTTGGTTTGTTGTGTCTGTTGTTTAATCTTCTCTTCTTACTTCTTTATTTAGATCATTTCTTCTTTTCTTTTGCCATTTGCCCTGAATTTTATCTAAATGTGGAGAACTCAACTTGCAAAGGGTTGAAGGAGATAAAAAAGAACGGGAGGGAAGAAGAGATAAGCTGATTATCATGGCATTCCTGCTGGAAGATGTGGCGTTGCTGCTGTCTCAGCCCTACATACTTTCTCTGGCTTTTATGTCTCCCTTTTTGTTTTGTTTCTGTCTTCTTCATCCCTTTTTCCTTCTACCGCCCACTTCCTCCCTCTCTCTCTCTTGTCTGTGTTCAGATGCCATATAAAACAGGATTAGCTTAAAGGGGGTGGAAGAGCAGGGAGTCGCAGTATTTGGCACAATGTTGAAGGAATGGAGGGAAGTAGAATGGAGCAGTATTTTACAGGTTGAAGTAGGGGATTTAAAAAAAATGTAAATGGTCAATGAAAGTATAAATATGTGAGTTACAGTCTTTAAATAGATTTCCGAGGTCACTATGTCAGCTGTACTTACATTTATTTATGTGTTTACTTACATAAATAAGGTGCTTCATAATGGAGGACAGAGGGTACCTGGTGGCTCACCCCACTCTCATTGACCCCAAAGGTCACGCCCCCGCAGAGCAGCAGCACATTACACACAAGGTAAAGGACCAGAGACCAATATATAATAGTATAAAAAAACATTATTCACAGTTAACTACTTCTTTATTATTTTAAATCTAATTTTGTCCTCCTGTTTTTTTTGTGATGGAATACAGGAGCCGTTGGTGGCTAACGACATCCTGAACCATCCCAACTTCGTGAAGAAAAACCTGTGCAACAGTTTCAGTGACCGCACCGTGCAGCGCTTCTACAAGTTCAACACCAGCATCACGGTGAGGCGGTTAACATGAGATAACTGGATGTATGATTGAAAGCAGAGGAAGACAGTCAGACAGTTATACTCTGTGATAGTATAACACTGCCCCCCTCTGGTGATCCTTTGTGTTGCCACCTTATTTATTCTTATTTAGTATAATTCTGTTAAAGCTTCAGTTTGTCTTGTGTAGTTAGAGAGTCCTGGTGTATAATATTCCTATTCAAGCTCTACAACTTTTAATTAATTAAGGTGTCATACTTGAATGAATTTCCTTCATGCCCATTTTTAGATGAACATGAGCAGATTTTGTGTATTATCACACATTTCAATTGATTGGATAAATACCCCAGTTCCCGGTCCATGTTTTTGTCTTTCTTCAAAGGTTACTGTTCCTTAGCTTAGTTTGTATGCCATGTTCAGCTACTTATAAAGTCATATTCCCAATGTTGCCTACTGCGGTTTCTTTTTTTTCCAGCTGCATCTGGTTATAGATCATTTAAAGAAATAAATTAACATAAAAAAGCGAGAGTCACTGCTTGAACTGTTAATTGTAATTCTTAGAATAAAAGAAACGTACAAATTAGAAAACAATAAATAAATAATGGAATTAGTAGTTATTGAAGTGTTTTTTAATCTTCCTATTTGTTTCTCATAGGGGGACCTTACGAACCTGGTCCATGGGAGCCATTGTTCTAAGTACCGTCTGACCCGAATCCCCGGCACCAACGCCTTTGCTGGCATCGTCAACGAGACGTGTGATTCTCTGGCGTTCTGTGCCTGCAGCACCGTGGACCGCCTCTGTCTCAACTGCCACAGGTCTCAGCCCCTTACACACGCTCAAAGAAAAGATTATATGTGTTGCATGTTTGTTTAACAATGTCAAACATGACAAACCTCTGGAGTTTACCAAAGATCCAGATCTGATATTGTAGATATCGATTGTGTGGGTTGTATTTACATTTGCATCATGAGCTAACAAAAATTCAGCTTACAATACAATTGGTTTTTACTTCACCTAAAAAACAAACAAAATGAATGGAGCTTCCTCACTGACCATGTGACTGGTCTTGTGTTTTTCAGAATGGAGCAGAATGAATGTGAGTGTCCATGTGAGTGCCCCCTGGAGGTCAATGAGTGTACTGGTAACCTCACCAATGCTGAAAACAGGTCAGTCCGAGCCATATCCTACATCGTATTTATATTAACAAATTCTACAATGTTTGTGAATTATATTCAGTCATGTCATAGAGGGGAAAGGAACCTTAATCAACGAATGTGTGCTGGTTGCTTTTAGAGAAGTTACTTTTCACATGTGGTAAAGGGAGAGAGAGATACATCATGGTGCAACGTGTCATGGGTACCACATGTTTTTTCTGTTTGTGCGGGAATATACCTCTCGCATATAGCTTCACTTTTTTGAACTTTCTGACCGTATTATATCGCACGACTCATTCAGTGTCTTGCGAAACATTTGCCAAATCATCTGTAAAGTATCTGCAAATGCACGTTTCCAAGGTGGCAATTCTCTTTAATATTCCTGTTACTATTTGAACTGTGGCTTGTTATGATTTGACGATTGCCTCATTGATATCACAGTAAATCAGCAAATCAAAGTTTTGGTGTTAAACCTGTTTACCCTCATATCGTGCTCCTGCAATGATTTTCAGAGCCGTGTAAATGTTTGTGGGTGCTTCCTTACTTCTCTTTGACTGTCACTGTCTCTCTTGTATTTTTAGTCATGCCTTCATGTCTCTCCTCTCTCTCTTTCTCTGTCCCTCTCTTGTTCCACCCATCTCCTTTCATAAACCATCAGCAGTCTTTGACAGCATGTTAATGTTTCAAATGCCAATTTCTCCTTTTATTTCAGGAAGACATGCAATTATCATTTTTTCACTGTCAGATTTCTCTCTTTGTTTCGTGTCGAGCAGCATTGTTGTTTCCTTTTTCTTTTTAAAGCTGCTTAGCATAAATTGACACTTTGAAGACATTCCTTTGAGGCTTCATGCTTTGATTCCATTGTCAATTTTACTGTACAACATCTGCTTTCTTCTTTAAAGTCCAATCATGTTTCAATGTAGGATTAGGATAGATTCTGTCAGCAGAATGTTTGACTTTTTCCTAAGAATATTCACTTGCACCTTTCTGTATTTTTACCTGTTGTGTTTTATGATTGTTTTATGCAGGAACCCCAGCTGTGAGGTGCACCACGAGCCAGTCAGTCTGAATGTGATTGATCCCAGTCTGCATGAGACGCTGCCTCAGTGCATCAACACTCGCTGTAGCCAGAGATACACTAGCAGGTATACACACTTATCTACACACATGTACAGTACACATTAACTGGTATAATGAATAAACCAAAAAAGGCTTTAAAATCAGAGTCTTGTTCGGGTATGGTGTGTTTACAGAGACAGATTTAGTAAATAATTGTTATACATTGACTTTGTGCATACCATGAATGGAACAAATAAAAAATGAAATGAATGAAATATATAATATTAATAATACTGTGGTGAGACATTTGGTAAAACATTCCTTAATAGCTTATTTTAAGTGTTTGCCACCAACTAATATCACTTCTATTTATATTGTTTCTGCCCTGTTTTAGTGATTGCTTCGGCGTTTTGGACTGTGAGTGGTGCATGGTGGACAGTGATGGTAAGACGCATATCGACAAGCCGTACTGTGCCCTGCAGAAGGAATGTTTCGGGGGAATCGTCGGCGCCAAGAGTCCCTACGCAGATGGCATGGGAATGATAGGTGAGTGAACTGTGGATATAAATGAGTCCTAAACTGTTTTTGCAGAGTCCACAGTTATGAGACATGTGTCCCAACTGTATCCTGGTGTATCTTCTTAGCCAACAGAGCAAAGCAACAGGCAAGCAAAGACAAAAGAAGAAACAAACCCAATGGTCCTTGTTTTAGCAAAGGTTTTATATTTCTTGATCATGATAACCAATATTCTAAATTGACTGACTCGTTTCAGATGTTATTTTCTTGGATTGTTATCAGTTTATTCAAAATGAAAATTGGCCATCCTATCGCAGTCAATCATTTGTCTGCGGCGTTTCACATCGTGAGAGGACAGAAGCTTAAAAAATTCTGGGCAAAATCTGAGCCAGAGCTGTTTGATATTTGCATGTTTTTTTTTCACTTCAACCATCTGCAATGCTTTGTAATTTCCTGAAACAACCGTCTGCCTATCCTTTCCTCTCCTTTCTTCTTCTTCTCTTTCTTTCCCTAGATGAGGAGGTGGCCTCTTTGAACATGATCAAGAGCGCCCCTGTGGGTCCAGTTGCCGGGGGCATTATGGGATGCATCATGGTGTTGGTGCTGGCTGTGTATGCATACAGACACCAGATCCACAGGCGGTCGCACCAGCACATGTCACCACTCGCAGCACAAGGTAGGACTAAGGGATGGATTATCTCTCTTAAAAAACACAAATAGAGTTATAATCGAACATTATAGGTCAGTCAAATGAGATTGAAGTGAAATTTCTAAATATAACATTATTTTTTGTTACCACCACGAAATAAATCCACAGCATCCTATTTGTTGGCTTGTAATGGCCCAAAAGCTTCCAAAGCAACCACAAGTTAGGTTGAGAATGTCCCTGTTTTATTTTCCACATTTAGTCTGTTCACATACTGACAGTTCTTTTAAATACCAAAGTATGATACAGAGTTTCAAAGCAGCCTGATTAACAAGCAGGGCGGCAAGTGCTGCTGGAATTAAACAGCTGACATTATCATCACGCAGCAGCAGCAGCTGCTACAGCATGAATTGTGTGATTACTCAGCGATATTGACAAAAACATCAAACCCGATTACAGCCTCATTAAAAGACTTGAGTCCTAGTTGCTATCTGTATGATTGTTTGGTAAACTACTTGGGATGGATAGTGTTGATACAGCTGAGGGATTGGCTCTTATAGTTCCGTGTGTGTGTGTGTGTGTGTGTGTGTGTGTGTGTGTGTGTGTGTGTGTGTGTGTGTGTGTGTGTGTGTGTGTGTGTGTGTGTGTGTGTGTGTGTGTGTGTGTGTGTGTGTGTGTGTGTGAAAGGCAAAGTTAAAGAACAATCGAACCCAAGAAGTTATTCTCCCCAAACAGAAAACTCCTAAATCTAAAAATATTTGGAGAAAGAAACCATGCCCTCATTTAATCTCTTCTTGTCATAATTGTAATGTTGGCAGATATGAATTTCCAAAGTGACATCAGTCTTATCTTGTATTTGTCTTTTTTCTTCTACCTCCATGCTGCTCCAGAAATGTCAGTGAGAATGTCCAACCTGGATAATGAAAGAGATGAAAGAGATGAAGACAGCCATGAGGACAGAGGAATTAGTGAGTATTGTTTGATATCCTATCGATATAAACAAGACATGCTGCAGAACATTTGATAATAGGGATAAATACTTAAGATAAAGTTATTACAGGATTTCCTTTCATTTGATGCTGCAAATATTAGATTTATTGAGGGATCTAGTGTTAAGCTGTGTGTTTCCTTCATTTTCAGTCAGTAATACTCGATTCATCGCTGCGGTAATCGAGCGACACACTCACACGCCAGAGCGGAGACGGAGGTACTGGGGTCGATCTGGGACAGAGAGCGACCACGGTAAGAAAAATTGTGGAGAGACGGAGTTCACAGAAAAAAACCCACACATGTTGTAACACTAAAACCCCTTCAGCATGTCATACAATACATCAGAATTGATGGAAAACGTATTTCATAAATGAATAGCTTGCATTTTCAATGTCAGTAATGCTAAATCAGAACACAACTACTTTCAAAACTGAAACATTTACTTTAAAATGCATACTACTCTGGTTAAATTCACCATGGTTGTTTAAAAGTATATACTTAGTGGAAACAAGAAGCATCAACAACGTCGTCCGTCATTGTTTTGTACGAAATCTCCTCAAGTTGAGTACAGTAAGGTTTAATACAGTTTTAGCGTACTTTGAACCCTCTACGTCCTCCTGATCAGCTCCCCGTGGAGGTATTTTCCTTCATGTCATGTTACTCTTAGACAACAGATGCTCCAGTCTAAAATAAACTAGGTTTCTGGAAAATGAATCATTCCTTGGTTACAAAACCAACCCAACATGTACAAGTATTGCTGAAATGCACTAGGAAGCACAAGCTTAGCTATATTTACTCCTTTAAAATTATGAAGTCAATACATTCATGTGGGCTCATCTGTAGACACAGCACTGACTCTAGAATTTAAAAAAAGGGAGACAGTTGAGGTTTATGAATCTAATCAGTAAGCTTTCTGAACACCACCATCTGTGGAGGGGACCCCGGGGGACACCCAGCAGAGAGCTGTCATATCCCACCTGGCCTGGGAACGCCTCAGGATCCCCAAGAAAGAGCTGGAAGATGTTCGAAGAAGTCTGGGTTACCTTCTTTAACCTTCTGCCACACTTATGCCTGGAGTATGACAGAAAAGCAAACTAATTAAATGTTCTCTAACATTAGGACATCTTAATAGAATATGTTATAGAATATAAAACCAAAATAAGTATGTAGCTACACTCGGGAAAAATCCTATTTAGGACTTATGTATGTCCTTTTATTTTGAAATGAACGTTACAGTTTGAAATCCACAGTTAGCTCTCAGCTCTTTGGCAGTGGTTCAGCTCCTGGCTTGTTCTTTTTATTATATCACAGCTCAGAACAAGGTTTTCTTTCGTCTTCAGCTCTGGGAGAGTTGCTCATATTTCGCTGTAACCGTTTGTAGAACTTGTAAGTCTGACACTCAGTGAGCGTGGACGGACAGCTTTCACCCACATGGGCTCTTACCGCCTACATATGGCATCACTCCACTTCCTGGCAATGAGTGTCTCGAATGCTTGTTGCATAACCGATGATGACGGAGAGAACAAAGATGAAAATGAAGAGAAGAGTGGGTTAAAGTGAAAGAAGGAAACAAAAAGAGATTGTCAGCTGCTTGTTACTTACAGAATAGCTGTTAAACCTTAAATAAAACAAATATTGTTGGTCATTATGCAACACAATGATGCACAACAAATGATGTGTTGCTTATATGATAATGCCAAACACGGATAAACATGAATTTGCATATCCTTGTATCCTGCACAACATGTTTTTACAATACACAGTTCAGAACAATGAAGGACGTTTTATTCCTCTCTCACATAAAAGATGGCAGAACAAGGTGATTCTAAGGTTCTAATGAAAAGAGCAGTCTATGAAAATGGAAAGGAAATATTCAATATGTTGCATAACTTAGGATGGCATTTCAAAAAGACTAGTTGAGACCGAGACATTTAGAGATGCAAAAGTGATGAAAGAGGGGAAATAAGAGAGAAATGTAAAGGCAAGAGGACAGGGACGGAGAGAAACACGTTTGAAAGAACGGAGAGGGGGTGTTGGTCCTTCATGAATTTAAATAAAATCACATGTTTACCCTTTAAAGTTTCCTCAGGCTCCTCTCTGCATGGTCAAAGGTGCCCTCCCACCACCATCCACTCACTCATTATGCAGAGCTGAGGGTATGAGCATTACGTCTTTAAGAGAGTGACGCACTAGGGTGCTGTTGGGTAGAGCAAACAGCAATATGAATGTACAGCCAATGGCTAGAACTAAACAAGAATGAATACTATACTCGTTACACAAATACATACACCACCTGCTTTAATTCAAACAACCTGGCAAAATATAGTTTATGTTTTTTCTTGCATTTGTTACATACAGTGGAATGTCTAGAGGAAATAGGCAGATGTCAATATCTGTAAATGTTCTGTTTTTTTTGTGTATGTAGAATATCATAATTTGGTTTAAAAATATTAAATAAATACGTTTTTTCGAGTCAAATGTTAAGTGATATTGAAGATATTTAATGAGGATACACATATTTGACAATTTCTATATTAAAGATTGTAAAAAAAAAACATTTACATTGCATAGATATTTTATAGTTGTAGTATACAAAATGTGCTTACTTTCCATCTGTGTTAGAAGATAATAACAATCATAGGGCTATGCTAAATCTGTAGCTACATTGAGCAGCTTGTTAGCTTAGCTTAGCTATTTACTGCTCCCAGCTAAAAAACGCAGTAGGTCTAGTTTTTTATGTAATAAAACCCATAAATGTACATTTTCCAACCCAGTCTCACGGCATTTCGTGTTCATGTAATCTATTGCTTCGTGTTCACCAACACGATTTTCCCATTTTTTTCGTGTCACCCAGAACGATTTTAAAAGCAATGTAAATAATAACAGATTAGAAGGAAAAAAAGATTTAAAAAATACAGATTTCAGTATTCTGACACAGAACTATTTTAAAAGCAATATATTTCTATATTGGTAGTATGTTTCGTGCCTGCACCAAATAATAACAAATTTAGAAGGAAAAAAAGATTTAAAAAATACAGATTTCAGTATTCTGAGGCTCTGAGCCCCATTTATTTTCCTCGCGGACGGCAAAAAAAGTCAGACATTATACAATTTAAAATAAAAACATATTGAGTAAGAAAATGTTTTTATGAACCACACAGCTGCCGGTCTGCCAAGACCCGACCGGACAAAAAGACGTGGTGCAGGCACGAAACATCCTACCAATAGAAATACATAGCTTTTCAAATCGTTCTGTGTGACACGAAAAAAAGGGGAAAATCGTGTTGGTGAACACGAATCAATAGATGAAATGTATTTCATGACTATAACACGAAATGCCGTGAGACTGGGTTGCAGCTAACAATATAGATAATGTTGAAGAGAGAATTAACCTTTGGACACAGCCATGCTAACTGTTATTGCCTGTTCCCAGTCTGTATGCTACATTAAGCTAGCCGCCTGCTAAAATTGGTATTGATCTACTTATTGAACTCTAGACAAGAAAATAATAACTTGGTTTGTTTAATAAACTCAAGTGCTTTGTCCTTAACAGCCCATCATTTCTTTTGAGGATTTACACTTGAGTCTTCTCCATCTAAAACTATAATATCACCAAATAGGATGGTTGTTTAGCCTTTCTCTCCACATCTCTCAACATTAAGAGGGAATTTCTTTCTCACCTGTTGCAGCTGGAAATTGTCCACAGCAGACATAAGCTGTTGGCCTGCCTGACACCCTTACTCTTGCTTTGGGGAAAAAGAGGGATACACTGTGATGAAGTTGGCATCTTCCATATCTGGAACTTCTCTTGAAGTCTCCATCCATGCCTTTCCTTTAATCCCTCTGTTCGACTCTACTTCTCTCTGCCCCTATTCTCATCACTCCCTCTGCTTTTGGGGTATCAAAGCCTGGCTAATCTTCTGAGAGTGTGAGATAGACATTTCTGAACAAACGTCCTAATTTAATTATATTACAGACAGTATTTTTTAGTGAGACATTTACTTTTACTATCCCCTGACCTTTCGTCTTGCTGCATCATCAGGTCAATAATCTGTCCAATACTTTAGTTTACAACCGAATAACTAGAAAAACGTATTATATTCCCATAAGCCTCTGCTTTAATGTTTGTTTAGTGCTAATGAGCCTTTTCAGATGGAAAACTAATAGGGGGGAGGGACATGTTAAACAACACACAGCCTAGCTTAGCAACAGCCTTAGCATAGTGATTATTTACCATGCATCTCAAAGCAGCACTGTGTTTAACTACAGCCTTACAGAAGCGCTACCTTATTTATGATCAGTTTGCTAGGTTCTTTACCTATTAAGCATTTGCCTAGGGATAGCCTGCTTAATTATATGAACCTCCAACGCCGTGAGAAGAATGTTGAGGGATGATATGCATAGCTGCTAGATGTTTGGAGGATAAAAAAGGTAACTAGGAGATACATTTGACGAGGCCACCCAAACAGACAGGCATGCTACGAGCCACTGCATTCTCCCTACATGCCTCACACATATAAACCCACTGCTTCACACACTGGATCATAAATCACTTTGAGCAGTATCTCTGGAGGTTTAATATTTCATCATCCAAAATTGCAGTGATTTTTCTATAAATATAAACCTTGAGGCGCGCAGGCTTGCAGGGTTATTTGCTCAATAACAGATTGATGTTCCTGTCGTGCAGCGTGTTGCTGGTGCCGCTACAGAACCTGGAAAAGATAACACTAAAGGAATTAAGGATAACAGGTTTATTTACAGATATACCAAGTATTTGTTTTTAGTCAGACAATATGTTTCAGGTGGATTTTAAGGTCCTTAAGATGATACACGCCACCCGGCAGATAAAGGGTTATGAAGAAACTGAATAGACCAAGAGCCTATACAATGTATTCGTGATAATAAGCTTCTGAAAGAGTACATCATTAGTCATCTCACTTGTCAAAAAATTAAAGTATGACGACCTAAACTGTCTTTATCAGTAAAGTTTATTATAAAAAAATTACCGGTCTCTTTATGTATGGTCTGTATACTTATACACTGACCTCATCATCCCTTTTTCTATTACCAAAGTACCACCCTCCCACTGCTCCAATTACAAAATGCATCATAACTGCCATGTTGGCTTGATTTTCTATCTCCCCAGGCTAAACTTATGTGCAATATGTGAAGGAAAGCAGTCATAAATATGTATGGAGTTTTTTTCTTTTTCAAATTATGAGAAAGCTGAAAACAAGAAGAAAAATGCCCGATGGGGATATTTAGATGTCAATGCACCATCAAAAAGCTTGTACTGCTGTCAGAAACATTGTGTGGTACTGTGTATTCACATGGAGGTTTCTGTGTTGAATATCTATGACTAGAAGGACTTTCTTTTATGGTTCCTTTCCATTTATGTTCAATGCTGTGCAGCCATTCTTAACAGAAAACCATGAATTGTTACATGCTTTATGTTTCTTTGAATCCCTCACTAATACCTCATTCACACCAACGGTGTTTCAGGGCCGGTTCGGAGCTGGAGCTTGAAAAGCACCAGGTTTTCCTGTTCACAACACAGCGGAGCAGACTCTTAGCTTCGGAATCCGGTTCATTTCGAGCACCAAAAAATTGTCCGGCCAGAGCAAAAGCACCATATACGTCACGCTTACATCGAGGCGGGGGCAGGGGTGGGACCAACTCCTGAACAACAACAAAAAGCCGGCGTTTTATACAGTTTGTACACAACGATGGAGAAACTTAACAAGCAGCAGTGGTCCACTGAAGAGACCAGCTACCTACTGGGAATCTGGTCTTCCGAAGAGGTACAGAGGAAGCTGGAGCACAATCGGCCGTTGTTGTTGTTGTCGGTGTCAGCTGTGAGGGGTTCCGCGCGCTTTGGCTTTATGAAGCAGGCACGCAAACGGTTACGTCATTACGTCATGACGATGACGCAATGACGCAGCACCATTCGGACTCTGGGCGGTGTGAACAGAGCCGGAGCTAAACCAAAGAACCGGTTCTGAACCTGAAAAGCTCTAGCACGGAGCTTGAACCGGAGTTGCGTTGGTGTGAATGAGGTATCAGAGCCCAAACAAGGTGTCCTCTAGTATATAATAGTGTTGCGTTGTACAAGTGTGAGGTATTTTCTTCAATCAGTTTTATTTTTGTAGCTTTGAGGTTAAAAGTGTAGTGTTAGAATTTTCTTTGAAGGTTTACGGCTTTATTTCTTTACCATTTGTTGCTCATGACCTAACTCTCATTTTTTGAAGTTCTTATGACCCTGATCTTATTTGTTAAGTCAATAATTTTTTCATAACAACCTTGATAATATATGTTTAAGTCACTTCACTACACCTGAAAAATGTAAAACGTTTCCTGGTTCCAACCTCTTTAAAGAGGAAGGGGTGTGTTTTCCTGTGTTATTGGTCATCGATGTATGGGTCATTCCGCAACACATGGCTGCAAAAAGAAATGCATACAATACAATTGGTAGGCATGTTGAAATGATTGATGTAAAACGCAGGTTTCTGCATTCTTTCCCCCCACCTGAATCCTGTCGTCCACCTGTTGAGTGCAAAAGCTTGATACCAGGTGTCTGTAGATGCGAGGCAAATATCAGTTTTACAAACTTCATGTTGCCTTATCTAAACATTAGTTGAGTTTACACATTACCTGATTCAAAGTTTGAAAAGCCTGGGCTACAACAGGGCGCATCAAACTGAAAAGATTCTTACCAACCATCTATACGTTTTAGTTTGGAAAAGAGTTGTAAGAGGGATAACAGTTTGCAGTAATACCAACATTTGCATGTTTCTTTGTCTCCAGGCTACAGCACCATGAGTCCGCAGGAGGACAGTGAGAATCCACCTGGGAACAACGACCCGCTCTCGGCAGGTGTGGACGTCGGTAACCACGACGACGACCTCGACCTAGACACGCCACCTCAGACGGCGGCGTTGCTCAGCCACAAGTTTCACCCTTACCGGCACACGCACACACACCACTACCCGCTGCACACGCACACACACCACCTGCAGGCGGCAGTCACCGTGCACAGTGTGGACGCAGAGTGCTGATCCTGCTGGGAAGGGACATTTTTGTATTAAAGACTATTTTTAAGAAAAACATTAGTGCTTGAATAGACAGCACGCAGTAGGTACTGTCAGGATGGACGGAGGGAGAGAGAAGCTGGACTCGCAGCGTCTATGGATCGCTGGGATCTCTGCCATGAATGGATGTTTAGCGTGTAATGGGTGTAAGCCTCATGGTCTCATCTCAACTTCTTTTTTTCAACCCAGTCCAAGATCTGGTTAGTGTACACAGCCTAACTCACAAATGACCAGAACTGGGCTGGTAAAAATACCCAAACTGGAATCTTTGTGTGTTTTCTGAAGGGATTTGCCATTCAGGAAACAACTGGAACCTAACATCCTTGAGGGAGTACAGAGTTCTTCATTTTCAAGCCAGAGCAAAGACTGTATAGGACTAGAGGAGAATCCAATTAACAAATGAAATCTTGATGCTGATTGAACTCTTTATCCCGAATGCTTAATTCCCGCCTCGCCCCTAAGTCTACTTGTGGTGAAAACGTCTCAGATGAAGAGTACAAATCCTGTATTTTTGCAAAGACTGGGATCTAATATGAGATTCTATTATGGATAATATTGCAGTTTTACTCTCCCATTGTCACTCAACAGTTGGTTTTCTTTAAAGATTAATAATGAGTCTCTGTGAAGTCCAGAAAAAAAAAACTTCAATGATTCAAATGAATACAAGAAGGAAAACAAATTAAGAGGAAAAAAATATTTTTCTACTATTTATTAAGGAGCTACATTTTCAATGACAGATGAGTAAGCAGCTGCAGATAACAAACAAGAAAGATAAGTGATGCTTATCAACCCACTTCCTATAAACAATGCATCATAGTTAGGGCTCATTAGTTTATCCTTGCATTTCCCTAAAAGCACGTGGCTTGCTTTTTATTTTTATTTGGACATTATAGAATATCAGACGGTTTGAAAACATGTTTTGTTTCTTTATTTTTCACAGGACCCTGGCGCATAATCAGAAGCGCATTTGGAATCTATTACAATTTCTCTCTTAACTTTCTTTTCCTAAAGGCATATTCTGAGCTATCCTCTCCACCAGATGATCCCATTTACTATTTGGTGTTGTGCCTAGGTTTTCTTTAAGCAGGGAACTTTTTGGATGAGCAGGTATCTAAAATCTAAATCAGATATTCTCCTTATAACAAAAAACTGGTATTCATTTTTAAATTGGTAAAAAACAGTGATCCTTTAATCTTACCCTGGAGATGTGATTTTTAACTATCACATTTTTATTTTTGTTCTCACATTTCGGAAGTATTTGGTTTACTGTTAAGGTAAGACTTGCTGTGCCGAACATCGCCATTCTGGACATGTGCTCTGTATCAGGAGGCAGACAAAGCTTGCTGGCCTTTGTAAACCTATCGGGGATTGAAGAGGGAAAAGAGAAACTAGCACCCTCCTAGCGTTAGTCCCTGCAGGAGATTTGGTTTGTGAGGATAATCGGGGATCCTCACAGAGGTCTGATTCAGAGAGACTGACTGCTGTCCCCTCTGTCTGCTTGAGTAGAAAAACCAGTACTGAAAGCTGCCCCCACCCCTCCCCCCTCCGAATCAACCACAACTTTTTGACTTTATGCCCCTTTGTGGCAGAGCTAATACTGTATGCATGTTAAGTTGTGTGCTGGATTTGGTGCAAAGCAAGCTTAATATCCAGTGATGCCCAAGATGGAGTCTCCCTCTCATTGAAGACAGTGAAAGAGGGAGAGATGCTGCTGTTGTTGTACAGAGGTTACACCCATCTGTCAGATCCTCTGTGGTTAACCACTCAAAATGTATTTTCTACAAGTCTCTGGTTTAACTGTTACATGTGTGAGTGTGTATGTGTGAGAGCATGAAGAGAGAATGATTATCAACCTGGAACATTTTCATTGAATGCATTATTGTATTTTTCAAGATAGTATTAGAGAATTTTAGGTGAAATTATTCTGATTGAGAAATCCACTTATTTGTATTCTGATGAAGAGCCACGTGACCTGATCTGTGCTTTGTGCACACAACTGGTCAAGATAGCCTCAGTGTGATATCCATTTATTTCTGTTGTCAAAAATGTCTATTGTTTTTCAGAGGTTCATTGTGAAGTGTAAATACAGAATCACAAATAGCTATCGATGTCCTGTACACTCCATTTTTTTTATGTTGGTGAAACATGAGTTATGCTTCAAATGATGCTCAGATATTGGGTTTTGACATTTTACTGTCTGTTCATGGTTTCTCACTATATTTTTGATGCCTTGGATGTTCTTTTAGATTAATTTGTTTAGGTCCATATTGGATGGAAGTCAGTACTTGGAAAAATTATACACAAACTTTATATGTTTGAGAGACTTCTAGATTTTAAAGTTTTATCTCCTTTCTAAATAATGTTTTATAAAAAAGCTTATCGCTCCACAAAATAATTTAGACTCAGGGCTGTTTCTGTTGCTACTTAAAACAGTCATATTCATGTACTGTTTCTTGAGTATGTTTGCCACTTTATTAGAATATATACATTAGCACATCTAATGTGAGCTCATTAAACTTCAAGCGGCAAAAGTGCTGAATAATTTGAAACCTGATATAACAGAGGTTAACGCAAAGTGGTGTTATTATAGCCCAATCGTGTTAAAGTGGGCTTCTACTGTTCTTGATTTAATTGCAATGGAAAATGTAGTTTATATTCCACTGAAGAGCGGGATAACAGAAGGGTTTATCCTGCGACTGTACCATTTGACCATTTACTGAAGCAAGTTTTACCTATAACCTTTTCAAAACAATTGTTTTAACACAAGTTAGGTAAATGTTTTCTTCTCACCACTTCACATGGTACATAATTGTTTTGGAATAAGACATTGAAGCAGTTTTGTAGCATTTCAGAGCATATATTTTGATTTGTTTGTGTGTTCGGGCAAATTCTTTTTTCCAAATTGAGTTTGTTTTCAAAGGCATTTTTTTCTGGATACATTTTAAACAGTATTTACCAGCTGTTTTAAGTGTGTGTGTGTGTGTGTGTGTGTGTGTGTGTGTGTGTGTGTGTGTGTGTGTGTGTGTGTGTGTGTGTACAAAACACTCTGAAACGCATTAAATAATGTACTGAAGGAAAATGTGTACATCACCCCCCTCATGTATCATGTAAAGTTATCAAATTGAGATTTATTGCAATATGAATGTGATAAAATCAATTTTACACTTAAAGTTCCCTGTTTTTGTATTTATGTGCTGCTCAATTATTTTGCCCTCCTTTTTTTATATAAGGTAAATCTACATGCATACATACATCTACAAATATACACAGTAAACTGTGGCTGTGCTGTTATCAGTCATTTAAACAGTAAGGTACAGTATACGGTAGTATCAGGCTCAAATAATCCTGTTTATTTTCATCTAGCTAATTTGGAAATCAAAAAGCAGTTTGTTAATCCAGGATGAAATTACCTTGAGTAACTATGTGGTCCGGTTTTGCAAAAGCACCACAACTTTTGTCTAAGAAACTTGACCCCTACTTTCAAAGTATTTCAGGCTAAAAGGGCTTTCAGTCACAATCTGTTAACTCCATAAGGAGTGTGTTTTTCAATGTGTGTCATGCTGTTGGCTGTAGGTCATGCCATTTGTGGGTGAATAGCAGTACATACTGCCTGGAAGATCGGATCATTTATTTACGAGGCCTTTCTGTACATACAGGGTTTCCTGCCAGGGGAACGGGGAATCTACCACAGATGGAGAGACAACATGGTCACAATCATTTTCAGAGGGAGCTTTTTTAGAAGGGGGGGGGAGGGGGGATAGTATGTCATATTCTAGTAGATTTGAATGAAAAAAACCTTTAAAATGTAACATTTAAATGTAAAATATGTTAATTTCACATTTAAATATGTTTAACCACAAAATGTGTATCTAACTTTTGTTTTGTCACAAAGTTAGATGCACCATTTTTACTTTGAATGGTATTGTATTTTTACTTCTGTCATGAAATCCCTTTGAAAAGACCCTAAGCTTATTCAGACATATCAATAAGACATACTGTTCCACTGGGTGACATGTTCTGTAATTAAGGAAAAAATATGGATGTATTTTGGTTTAATGTGTACTTAACGTTTCAACTAAGCCCAAATTAATTGCAGGTTTCTGTATGCAGTACCAGTATTGTCTCTTTGTATGGTACCTTAGAACAGAATATATTTACAGTATATAACTATAGTGTATGTGTGCTGTTATTGTTCCTAAGTGAGTCGGCGCAGGCCTTATCCTTTGTAAAATCTCTCTTTCCTCTAATCATATTCTGACCAAACTAATGAGCTTATGTATTATTTGATCATATTTGGCAAACTTTGATAATTGTTCTGCGGATTGGCACACAGAGTTGATTATAGTTGGATTCTTGATAACATAAGGAACAACCAAAGGACTCGTGTGTTTTTTGTTTGTGTTGTGTTTGTATTATAGAAGGAGTTATTTGCATCTGATTTCGCAAGGTCAGTCTTTAAACCTTTAATCTGATCGTATCTTTTGTGATTTCACATTTGAATAATGAATTATAGACTGGGTAGGTGGCTACCTCTGTCTATTTTAAGAGAAGGTCATAGAGTGAGGCTAAGTAAACAGTTTCTCCTTGAGGTGAAAATGGAGTGGGGCCTGCCGGGGTCTCAGTTTAATGAGCATCAGCTGGGAAGTAGTTCAGCACTTTGGATAGCTGAAGGAGAGAAGTAACTCTTTCCTCATGACTCTGTCAGTCCGCCTGTCCAAACGCCCCATAAACCTTATCAGTTTGTCTGCATTCATTCATACCTCTCGACATGGCCCTGTCTGTCTCTTTTTCACTATTCTCTTGATTTCTGCTTTTCTCCCTCTTACTGCCCAACTGTCTGCTGCTACCTGCCAGGGAAACGCTGTGAATTAGAGCACTGAGCTCGAGTCCAAGCACCCTCGGGTCTTTTCAGTCAGCCTTCCCTCTGCCAACAAGTACAGCAGACATGCACAAGCTGCATATTTTGTGCAGTCCAGAGTACCAGTTTCCCAAATGCATCTAAGCAGTATGATCATTTTAAGTCTTGCATGAAAGCAATTTAGAGCACATTAAAATCAGACAATGAAAATGTCAGACAATGCTTTTTAACGCATCATGTGGGTTTTACTGAAGATATGTGAACATTTGACTAACAGAACTTGAATCTAACAGCAAAATCTCCTTGGAGTTTGTTGAGAAATTCGATGTTCTGCTCAAATATACAACTTTACAGTATTACAAACTGAAATCTGGGCCTTTTAGAAGGACAAGGAAAAGAAACAAGAGTTATGCTAGGGTTAATTCATGTTAAAATATGCAAAATTCTCATTACTGATTCACTTACTGGCCACAAAAAAGTGACTTCCCTGAAGCACTGGTGAACAGGGATGCGTCTGACCATTGTAATTAGGACATGAATTGGGCAGGGACCTAAGTTCTCCTGTGGGTTCAGGTCAGCAATTTTTACTAGGTCACAATTTCCTTAATCGTTTCTATGCTAGAAGAAAAAGGAAGCAACACCACCAGACTCCATATGTGATCATTTATGAGAGCACAGCACCAGCTCATGAATGTAGGGAGAGCCTACAATCCATTTGTCCAGGATTTACAGAGCGAGATCTCGATAATCACACTGCACTATCATACTGGATATGCACACGTGTATATGATCTCTGTCAACTCCCACGCGCAATCAACCACTTTTCCATGTAGGGTTCAAACCCCCCCTTCCGATCCTCACGCCTACTGAGCTCATCCCAGGTGCCTGCTCTGCCCGCTCAGCCACTCTGCCCACCCACACCATCACACTCTCAGTCCCAGCGAGCAGCGGCAAGCTTTTTCCCCGCTTTCTTTTTCTCCTCTCTACTCCCACCCACTCCAAAAGGCTGTGATTCACTGGCTGACACGCTGAAGCACTAGCATGGCTCTTGTGTTTTTACATGGAGAGAGACTTACATCTCCTTTTCCCTTGGATTGTGAAGCATAGCCCATTATCGCGGGGTTTGACTTGCACATAGGTACAAGGCTATGAAAGATACAGAGTTTGAGCAACTTAACTTTGCTGCAGGCTGACACAAGTTTGTGTGTGTGTGTGTGTGTGTGTGTGTGTGTTTAAAGTGTGTCTGTGAGTGTGTGTGTGTTAAAGTGTGTCTGTGAGTGTTAATACGAGATACTTTCGTTCCAGAGGGACCAAGAGA